TTATTATGAATGACTGTGTCCATCCATCGCCTAAGGTACCGAAAAGAGAAAATTTCTTCTTCTAGAACATTAACTCAGTAACGTTTCAGTTCTTAGCCTCACTTTCGTGCCAAGTTGATTTGCAACTTGTTAGGCAATTTGATAAAATCAAGCGCCAGCGCTGTGTGCCTTTGTTCTTTCCGTCATTCCACTTTCGAAGAACTATATAGCTATCGATCGCCATTTTGTCAGCCCGTGCGGCGGGTGTTTCGCTTCGTATGACATCTATTTGGCGCTATTCCAGCTGTAGGTGGGGCTTGCACGGGGTGTGAGTCACGGAACTGATTCATTTCATTCACAGCCAACGAAATTTGCCCATTTCGTGCATATTATTAGCGCTGAGAAACTTTTATATTTCACAATCACCTGCTGTTTTCCTGATTCACCACTGTTTTTTGGTGCTTATGTGACATAGAATATTGATTTTACATTTCTTGGTTTCACTTCCAGTTAAGGCGAAAACTAGTACTAGATCGTTAAGTTGCGTTGATTCCGAAAGATATTGATTGAGTAATTCAGAAAAACCTGTTCCTGACTAATCAGTGTGCCGCTAACCATTACTGAAAAGCTTTTAAAATACCTGAATTATCTTTATTCGTAGATTACGTAATGCAGCACTTTACCCTATTATAACTAACAAATACTTGAATCTATCTTACTTTGTTCATTTAATTGAGCTTTTGACGGCTGAGGTGGTGTAGTGCATAGGGCCATTGCCTCAGCATGCGCACTTTCCAGGCGGGTAGATAAAATCCTGGATTCGGCTCCTGCCCAAGCCAACCAAGCCTTCCACCCTCGGTAAATGGTATCAGATTCATCTGGGAGGATAAAACACTGCTAGTACATAGCCTGGCCCTTACAAGTCATGGTGTAGGCCACATCGCATTCAATGAGCCACTGCAAGCAGCTCTAGAACACGATTAATAAAATCCCAAAAAGGGTTTGATGAAATGAGAAACTTTAGCCTTTCATCCTTTTATCCATTATTATCAGCTCTTTATATGAGCTGAGGCATAAAGCTAAAGTTTTATGTCTCCAGACAAATCTAGCCAACAATTTACCTGTTTCCCAAAGGCCTAACCATGTCTGTCTTTTCTGAGCGGGAGGAGGATATTATCTCCCGAGCACGTGCGGGTAAGTGGGCACTTACCTTTAAACAGCCCCACGACTCACATGTGGTGGTAGCGTTCAATTACGAGCCTATGGTCGCTCCTCTTCCGGAAAAAAAGCAAATATTCCGTCACCAATACTCGCTGGTGGGCCCTCAGGTGGAGCCCTCACTATGTGTGCTTTCTGGACCTGCACGTTATGCCAGCAAAGTGCCGCCTCTGGTTCATCGTTTCCTCACGTCATCCAGTGCTTAGTACCATCTGAAAGTGAAGAAAATTCAATAGCATGGGCTGGAAGAACGATACTCGTGGACAAAAAGTAGCACCTAAAGTCGGCCATTTGTGCAAGATTTGTGGTCTGGAAAAAGACACTTAATCGGACGAAAAGTAGTACCAAGCATTAAATTGTCAGTTATTGCGGCGTCTTATTTTTTGCCGAAAAATGTTCTTGGTTAACTATTGAGAGTATGTTCTCCCAATGAAACAACTCATAAGGGAGGGCAGAATTGTTTATGAGCACGAGCACAGTCTGCAAAAATAGACATGCAGTTCGGGTTTATGTCCGCCGCTTCAACGAGCAACAAATAAGCGCCCTACGCTGAGTATGAGGACTTTTCTGGGTTCCAGTGTCAGAGCTAGAACTTACGGCTAATGCCGTTTGGACTCCAGAAATTTCGGCACCGAGCCCATTTTTAAATTGCCTAAGTCACCAAATCCGCTAAAAACTTGTATATAGGGGTAGTTTAACATCCTGATTACGAATATGACATTCACTCTTGTCGCTGGCGCCAAGAGAGGACACTACGATTACCTCCTGGGCTCAGCCTTAGCAGAGCGGAGATAATCGTAGTGTCATCCATTAGCGCCAGCTCCAAAAATGTCATATTCGTGATCAGGATGTTAAACTACCCCTATGGACAAGTTTTAGCGGATTTAATGACTAAGGTACATTTAAAAATGACTCGTGCCGAAATTTCTGGATCAAACGTCATTAGCATCAAGAACCTTGCGATGGCTGTAGCACTCTCCTCACTTGCTAAGAATCGCAGAAGTGGGCGCTATTCGAGTTCAAGGGAGGGACTACTTGCACAAGGACGACCACGAAGTGCTTGAGCGCGAAGTCACTCCTTTCAACCATCCCGCTTCTTTTTGGGGTACAAGGTGCATTTATTATCATAGAGGAGTATCGATATAAATTTAATAGCTGTTTTCCTATTCACTCACTACAATTACATATTTGTATGACAACTTAATTAGGGGCAGTATAATCAGCGCCATGCCCCTAACATGTGATTATCCTTTTCAAAACCACTTAATTATGGTCAGTGTGTCGTTTTGTTGTTCTTTCGTTCTGTCCCTTTTATATAAATTGTTGTTTAAACCGATAGGAAATAAATTACTCAATACCGCGAAACCAGCCTGCTCTGCCGATAACACGATGTTGTGAGTGTTATAACACCCTTCGGCTGATAAACAAGACACTCACTCAGTAGACTCGCAGCCACTCCACAAGCATGAGGTGTGCCCGTCGAGCACGAGAGCACACAAGGAAGTCATGTAGTGCAATTGATATCGTTGCAGTCATTCGGGCGGAGTTACCAGGGTTGCCTGCCCTCGGTGCGTTCGCTACCAATAGTTATTGGTTAGTGATCGATCAAGGAATTGAACAATAGGTGGCAGAAAACGCAGCCGGGTGGGCTCACTCCGCCCATTGGTGACCACGCCCCGACTATCGCGACGATATCAAGTAAATGTGCGAAAAGAGAAGGCCGTCACGAACGTCGAGTGTTAAACAACATTGCATTTGTGAGAAGATTTCGTGCATAGTTCAGTGTGTGGCTTGCTGATTAGGTAGCTTAACATTCTCTTAGACAGCATGTTTACCTGTTTGTTATCATGCTGAAGTTTGACCGTTGCGTGAACGGTCGTCCAGGTGTTCGCTTCTACATCCCAGTGGAATCCAGTCGGTAATCGCTCTGGTCCAGCGGTCATCATCGTAACGCATGACGTGCCCGGTCCACTTGATCTTCGAAACCTTGGTAATGCGGCTGTGTCCTTCATCTTCGGTCGTCGGCGGAGTGCAGAGCTCCGGATTCCCTCTCTCACTTGCGTGTAGCGGGAAACTCCGAGCATCGCCCTTTCGATGGCGCGTTGAATAACGCCAACCGCATGCTCATCCTGCTTTCGTAGAGTCCAAGTCTCTGAGGCGTACGTCAAGGCAGGAAGGACCGCGGAATCGAAGAGGATGGGCAACCGCGGAATCGAAAAGGTGGGCATCCGCGGAATCGAAAGGTGGGCACGGAGCTTGGTGTTCTTCGTCTTCTTCGCTACTCCCTCGATGTTCTTGAAGGCTCCCCAAGCCGCTCGCTTCCTCCTGCTCAGCTCTGGTGCTAAGTCGTTCATCATATTGATTTCCCGACCCAAGGAACCCATAGCGTTGGGAGATGTTTGTTCCGTTGAGCGAGAACTGAGTATCAGAGACCAGTTCCTTTTTGATGAGCATCGTCTTCTTCACGACGCATAGCTCAAAATGCTTTTCCACTGGCTTACAATCTTTTGTTTGCAGCTTTATGTACTGAGTGTCCCCCAGTCGAAGGAAACGTTGAAGAAATGACACGAAAACGGAGGTAGAGAACTTTGGTTCGAGACTCATTACGTAGATTCTTGTTCGGGTCACCCTTGAATCCCTTGAGAGTATTACTGAAGCCACTGAGTTGCCTTCATATTGAAGTCATTTTGCCATCATTTTTTCACCTGTCACTATATTAATTCCAAGAAAAAATGCTCGGGTTGTTGTTGTTTATACTTCTCCACGTCTGAGATCTAGTCTTTCATGACACATGCGCCAAGCCGAAGTTGTAAGCGAATCACATTAATCAGGCATAGTCGTTCTATGGAGTTTCATTCTTTACCATAGCCTTCATAATCAAGTACTCTTAAGGTGATGTCGTTTACTAATACGGTATAAATTAGTCTCAATAGCTGTCTCACATTGCCATCAAATCTGAATAGATGTTATGACTTGAGATTTATAGGATAATTCATCATCACAGAACTTATGCAGCTGATAAAACATCGCGTCAAGGCAATTAATCCACATTGCCATGACGTTGCGAGAGCAGGTTACTATTCCTGGACAACAGCTACTTGGGTGCTGGCTAGGCTATTCACCATTTGCTGTTGGGTGGGCTGTGTTGATTGATTGGAAACCTGAGAGTAAATTGCACAATTTGGTGACCGCTACAAATGCTATGCTTTCAGAGATTGTAGAATGAGCGGCGCTGTTCGGCTTGGGGGGGGGGGGGAAGGGAAGCATTGGATTTTGCTCTTTTGATAGTTCCTGTCAAATTACACATCTTACCTTGATGAAATCTTTAGATTCTTGTCAGTTAACGAGTAGAGAGGCTCGTGCTTTTGCATAGCTCTACAGGGTTTTACAAGTTTCTACAGGAGACAGAAGCAGTATCGATCGTAACCAACTTAATGCCCCCACCAATCCAAACCGCGCTGAACAGCTATTGTTGAAATCAATATGGCATTACGTTTCGGGACCGAACTACCTGAAAAGACCTCAATAGCCTAGTGGAAAGCAGTTTATACTACATACTACATCCTCGTATAAATATGATCTGCCAGTTGCCTAGTTCTCGTGTTCTACCCCAGCACTGGTACTTGTCGCCTGCATGCTTGTGATTTTGAAAGCTTATTCACCTTACTTCTTCATCCTACCTAAAGATTTTTTTACAACTTTGTTTCGAGAGGTCAGCGCTTTTGTGCATTTTCTCTCTCTTCGAAAACGGTTGCGCTATTCAGGACCAGCGGTATTTTATGTGTCCTCTGTTTTCAGTTCCAATGGCTGATATCCTGAAGGGAGTGAAATTGCAGAAGAAAGACGGCAGCAGCGCAAATGCCGAAGATGTGCTGAAGGTATGTGGAAAACCACCAAACTCCTTATTATGTTTGTTTTTATTTCATTTTTTAGGTTTTCTGTACGTTTTCCAGTATCAAATACGGGCATGTTGACTAGGAAGGGGTATCTCAAGGGCTCATTCAAAACAGAGATCACCGTTATGCAACCCCTTTTTGCACAAGGAATTGGCTCACCTTAGGCGCGTTCATACTTTGCATCAGCGCACGGCTCGCTTCGAGCGTACGCCAGCTCCAGCGACAAGGTAAGTATGGGTATCAATCTAGCGTACGGCAGCAGCAGCGTTTTCGCGGGCAATCTGAGCTTGAGCAAAACTTCTCGCCTAAGCGCTGCTGTACGCTGGCTAGATCGATACCTATACTTTCCTAGTCGCTAGCGTTACGCTCGAAGCACTGCCGTGCGCTGATGCAAACTATGAACGCATCCTCACTCAAAGCTCCTTTCCTCCTGAGCTTCGGCCAAAATTCTCATGTCCATCACTGCAATCTCAGTTTTGCACAGAGGCTCCCGAGTCCTTCCCCCCCTCCAGCAGTAATGCGCTTTGAATATCAACAATTTCGCAAACTAAAAAAGGTGTTAATGCAGTGATTTCCAGGACAAGGTGGTAGGACTATACTTCTCAGCTCATTGGTGTCCACCATGCCGTCAGTTCACTCCTGTTCTGAAGGTATGCTTATCATCAGTTTGCTTTACGTACGCCATGACAGTGCCTTCCAAGCCAATTGGGGACTGTTATCTTCGTTATTCAAAGTATCTTTTTCTCTTTCTAACTATTTTGATGACGAATTTCAGGATTTCCATGACGAACTTGTAGATAGTGGAGAGTTTGAAATTGTGTTCGTTTCGTTTGATAGAAGTGAGGCTGACTTGAAAAAGTATTTGGAAGAAGCTCACGGCGACTGGTATCACATTCCTTTCGGATCTCCGAAAATTCAGTGAGTGAAATGTCAAAATTCGTATTATTCTCTTGTTGGTTTTTCATAGATCCTGCTCCCTCCCATAAATGTAATGATTCAAATTAACCAGTGAGGTTAGAGTCCGCTGCTCGGCTCTTATTTGAGGGAAAGCAGATTTCCTCATTCCCTGTAGAGAGCTGCAGTTGATGAACTGGCACTTCCCCTGTGAGGGTTGAATTCAACGAGTTGATTTTCGAGGTTTTCCTTAGAAAGATTTGAAAGATTCGTCACATGAGCGCTGATAAATACCATCTTTTAACTTGGTTCATAAACCCTAGAGCCCTTCTCCCTTAGGGTTTAGGCCAAAGACCTCATGCTGGTGGCTGGGATCTTAGTTTCGCGCACGGAATAGTTTAAGTACCCACAGGGTCATTAGCGACATTACACTGACTTTGCGAATGCGCAACCAACATTTCCATCAGTTCCGAAATCTTGGAAAATCCTATTAACTTGTTCTTATTGAGTTTTTACTCCCATCGAATTTACTTCGACATCTACTGGGATCATATAAGATTCACACAACAGCTTAGGCTGCATTCAGTTTTTCGTCGGCGTTTCGGACAAAGGTTAGGTATGGTATGCGTTTATATGAGGAAACTTCAGCTTTTGGGCCTTCTGAGCGAATCGGCATTTTGAGCCCGAGCCCCATCGAAACCTATACAACCCTTTTCATACAAATCGCTCGGAACGCTTGAAACGCAGGCGTGCCTCCCAAGACGTTTGAAGCACTCGGAATGCTCAAAAAGGCGGCGGAAATATAAATGTATTCTCAGAATTTTCACATGATATCAGGACACTGAAAGACGACCAAATTCTTTACGATACTCTGGTTCATGAAGTAATAGGTTGGCGGGAAAGTTCTGTCACACTTTTCGAACTCAAAATACTTGCCCATTACCTGAAGAGGGGTAACCGGTAATGTGAGCACTTATACATCAAGGAGTGGTCTTTCTATTAGTACCACTCGCTTGACTCCTGCTTTCTTCTTCTGCAATATGGACAAGGATTTTATCCGCTACCATCGGCACCGACCCCTCCAGACGCTTCCTCAAACTCTTTCTTCCACCACCCTGACGCCAGCATGATAGCTGCAGATGCCAAAATAATGGAGCTGAATAAGGACGATGCCCTCAATTATCGGAAACTTTCCACGACGCTAATGCTTCGAAGCGGGAGCCTAGAGAGCCTACAGTTTTGATGACGGAGTCAGGTTTAAGTTCAGTGGTTTTGCCGGTTTACTCCTTTTCCCTTCCTTCCACAAGTATTTACAGCACACTTCGTGTTATAGTATAATTCATCATCATCTTGATGCATGAACTTTGCATGTTACCCCCTTTTTTACAATCTCTCTCTTTTTGTTTATTTCTCACACCTTCCCCTATGTAGTCTATGTCCTCTTGTCTTCAACCTATCGCACTGATGAGCTCGGGGGTTGGCTAGACAATGATGATTCGTCTGCGATACCGAGCGAAACGGATCATCTGTGTTGTGGAGTGTATTCCTTTCCCATGTTTGTTTTTCTTTGCTTCTAATTGGACTCTGCTGGTGTTCATTGAACTTCGAGGGTAACCCGAGTTCAGTGAAATACCAGTTCCGTCTTACGGGTTATATCTTGTTTCTCAAATACCACACTCCTTCGCTACCTCTTAGAGGCAAATCGCCTCTCGCACCGGTGGTGCTTGCTATTCGGACCGGTGGTCCAATACGCGGCCGGTGGTCGCTCTTCGATTTCAGCTATTTCCATTCGACATACACTACTCACTTCCGTCTATAACTTTTATGTTCTTCTATAGTGACTTTTGATTCGAACTGAGGCGACTGCCTCTTGCACCAGTGGTGTTCTTTGGGACCAGTGGTCCTCTTGCGTCGATTGACGTTGCTCTTTGGGACCGATGGTCCTCTTGCGTCGATTGACGTATCCTCACACCTATCTGCTTTCAGACTGTTACTTTTTGCTTCCACATTGGCTGGTTCACCGCAATTTTCACTATTATATATGGAAATGAACCCTACTACTCTTTCAACCTTTTTCCTACTCTCTTGTATCACGGATTATAGTCATATGTGGCACATGTATTACACTTTAGCCTAGGCTATAGATGGTTTTCGTTTCATTTGCTATCCTTGTTTATTACTGGTTGGCCCTGCGCGTTTTTCCTTTCTTTTTTTCATTCTTTTTTCTACTTTTTGTTGTATTTAACATGTCCCATACTTCTCACACACTATCATTAACACACTGAGGGGCCATGCCTCTCAAAAAAGAGGGCCATACCTCTTCAAAAAAATAGGGACTAGCGCTGACGGGGTTATACAAGTCAAAAACGGCAAGAGCGGACAGTTTTTGGCGCCCCCAGCGCTGGTAGTTTTGCAGGGAGAGCCACCCCCTGGGCAGCAGCCCTGCCGAACCTTCGGGAAGTCTGCTCTCTGCGTATGGGTTTGACCGCTCATGCGCTTAGATCTTAGGTCAAAAAATGCGAAAGTCAGCGCTACAAATTATTACTCCACCACCCGGTTCCACAAGGTAAGGGGTGGGGCCAATCACTTCAAACTCAACGACTTTGGTAACGATAACAAGGGTTGCAAATGTAAAAGAAAGTGTAGAACATGTGATATAACTAATACAGATAATTACATTGTATCAAACGTTACAAACTTATACATTAACACATATAAAGAAGTAGATGCAGATTGTAACGCTAAAAATGTAGTTTACTGTTTAACATGCAATGGCTGTGGGATACAGTATGTTGGAATGACAGTAAGAAAATTAAAAGAAAGAATTGGAGAACATCTTTCTAATATTTTTTCACACAAGGTACACACACCGTTATATAATCACTTTTACAAATGTGATAGAGGTATAACGGTACAAGTACTAGACTGTATGAAGTCTAATGATAAAACCACATTAATAGAAAAGGAACTTTTTTGGATCAAACTTCTAATGACAGCATATCCCTTTGGTTGAACGATAACATAAAGGGATATGGAAACATTACAAATATAGATAATCCTCTCATGTACAAGGGCAATCATCCCTTCTTCTCTCTCAAAATTACAAAACAAAGGATAAATAGAGGAAAAAGAAGCAGTAAAAAAATTAAAGTAAGCACATACGATAATATTATAGCAACGATAACAAGTAATAGTGAAACACTCAAACCTATTCATTACTTCAGAATGCTCAAAAGCCTGCGTAAAGAAGAAATTAAGAAACTAATTGAACTCTCCATGTCTGCAGACTTTCTACAAAGAGTTAATAATAAGACTAGGTACTTAATATTTTGTCTGCTAGCTCATTTTCATTTTGACACTACCACAAAAGAAATCACCAAAAAGAACTATCATAATGTAGAGGTCAGTTTCAAAAGCAGGGTGTTTAATGAAATACCCTTCAACAGAATCTTCAATTCACGTACTGTTAGAGATATACTACTCAACGATAATGGAAGGAGCAGTGATTTCACCCCAATTAGAATCGTTTATAAGTACAGCAACACAATGGCTAGCAAAATTTGCAATTACAACAAAGTGTTGAAAGATCTCGACAACGAAAAATTGAAGCAAATACTCAACAACGATTGTATATGTACTACAAATACAGTACAAGAATATGTGGATAAAAATCATGAACACGTTATCACAGGAAATGTAAATCTTATAAAAGAAGATGGTTTCAGAAGACTACTGAGTAAAGGGACCAAATATAGATCTGACACAGGCATAACAAGACAAGAAGTTAGAATGGTGTTTGAAGATACACTCAACAAGATAATAAATTATTTTAAATATAAATACAAGGCTAGCAATCACAAGATTAATCTGTTATATAAACATTTTCGTTCATGTTACCATGACAAAGTAAAACCTTTACTGACAAAGGCTAATATTGAAGGTATAGGAGAACACATACCTTACAACTTAATCAAACAATATCAGGAAAAATACGTGTTCTGCCCACTCGACAAAGCAAATAATAACTATGGCATCATCTGTAAGAAGTTCTACCTTCTGAACATTATGCATGAAATGGGCATTTCTTATGATGCTGCCAACCACACATTTGTCTATGGAAATAGTAATAACACATATGAGTTGATGCCTCATACGAACAAGTTTTCTTTAATATTGAAACACAAGTTTCCTTGTGTAGAATAATATCAATATATCATTGATTCATGAATATTACCCATACTATATATGCCTATACAAAGCTACATCAATGACCAGTTAAATTCGGTACATCACAGCGGACATCAGCAGCTTAGTATTAAACCACTGGCTCAGGAATTACGCATAATCTTTACACATCTTAAAAATCACTTCATAAACTACGCTAAAGCAATTCGGAATCGCAACAGGACTATCAAGACATACTGGTCTATAAGTAATATTAATATAAGTCACGAACTACACAGCATCACGTTCGACAATCTCAAAATTTACACAGCAGATTTCACTGACATGTTCACAAATTTAGAGCATGATCTTATTCTTAAGAAAATGCAGGAACTCCTTAACATTTGCTTCAAAAATGCCAACAGATCCTTTATTGCCACTAATGGTTACCATGTTTTCTATACAGATGGTAAAGAACTCAAGAACAACTACAGATATTACAAATCCAGCGATTTAATATACTTTATTGACTATCTTTTACGTAACAGCTTTTGTCTTTTTGCTAATAATACGTTCAAACAGACTAAAGGTGTCCCACAGGGTGGACCATTTCAAGGCTCCAGACTACTGAACTTTAGCCAGATGCTTACGCTTTCTGTCGATGTAATCATGCGTCAGCTTGCCTAAATCTAAAAGTTTAGTTATTATACAGCTGTGCATCCCATTAAAGATTGATGGATGGATTATGTCTTGTTGATTTCATCAACCAATTAACTGTAGTGATGTTCTTGAGTGGCCAATGAACTTACTTTTCTCAAGCTGTATGTCGAAAATCTTAACCTCACGATGTTGAACAGACTCATA